TATATATATATATATCTGTTGAAACCTTAATACATTAAACTTTAAAGTAAATTTACGTAAGCTTTAAGGTCAATAAATTTTACTATAAATTTTACAAAGCTACATACTTGTTTACTTTCTCCATTTAATCACATCCATCCTCGTGGTTCCGCTTTTGCATACTAGATATTGCGTCACAATACTTAAACATTTTATTATAGAAAATTTCATGCTTATATATATAAATTCTAGAACTACATAAATACTTTTTCATTTCATATTGTTTTTATTTAAAGATAATTTTTTTGAGAATAATTAATTTATTTGATTATTAATTATTAAAATATTGTATACATTATTTTTTAAAAAGCTAATAAAATGTATAAACATATAAATTTTCAAAATAAATTTAACATTTAATTTTTGTAATATTACAAAAGTTTAATTTTGCAATGATATAAAACAAAAAAGTGGTATAATCACAAATTATTTTTAATATTAATTAAGTCAATATTTACATTTATTAATTCAAGTTAAACATAAATAATTGCTGAAATACAAACATTTCCTAAAATTTTTTAAATTATGTAAAACTTTGCTGAGGAAGTTGTTATGTAATACATTATATTAATTCTCATGTATTATATTCAATTGTTGTATAATAACTGTGATGTGATTGTAAAACAATAAAGCAGAAGAGACACAACTAAAAAAAAAAAATCAGTATTATTCTTGAACTTCCTAATCCATGTGTAATTTCAAAAAATTTAATATTTCTTATCTATTATTCTTAAATATTTAAATCTTAATATGATTAAAAATAATTCAAACATGGTATCTTTTCTTATACCTGTTTATTTTAATGATATAATAAGAATGTCTTAATTATATAGAAAGCTTAAACTAATAATCAAACCAATTTTTAATTCATAAAAATAAATGTCTAAAAATTATTACAGTTTTCTTAAAGTTATTGATTAAATAGGTTGGAATTTTTAAAGTATATTTCAGTAAATCTGAAGTCTATTTTAGTTTTTCAGGTTTAAATAGTAAAAAATAAGCACATTTTTAAAAAAATGCTTAATTATATTACTTTATATATATTTTAAATAATTATTTCAATTTTTGCTTTTAATTTTTACACATGGACCTGTCTCGTACTCACTCATTTAACCTTTACTTTCCGGTACTGCTTAAACTTCGTAAAACAAATGTTTTCAGCCTCACTAGAGGTCTGTTTCAGGTTACAAGAAAAAACCAGTTTCCAATCTTAGAACGATTCTTGAAGGAACGAAGTTTTAAGCAGTACCAGAAAGTAAGGGTTAAATGAGTGAGTACGAGATTGTTCAAAATACCAGTATTCAGAATAGAAGATATTGTGACACATGGATAAGTCAAATACCAAGCATAAAAATCCAATCACAAAAAAAAGTGGCATTATATTGGAATTATATTAAATTAAATACACATGTTATTTCTCAAGCAAAACAGAATAAACTAAAATATCTTAAATATCTAAATTTAATAGTTTACAGTATACAGGTAATTCAAAAGTAGTTTAAAAAAAACTTTAAAAATAGGTCAGGAATACAAAAACAAATTAGTTTTACCTAGAAACATATAGCCACAAATGCCACCCAAGTGTTCTAATAAACATGTTATATATATTACTTTATATATATATCCCTTATATATATTCTTTTCTGCATGTTTCTTCCTATAATTCTAGCAACCAGATGGCATTTGTGGACTATGTGTTCCTAGGAAAAAATGGTTTGTTTTTGAATTCCTGACCTACCTTTGAAGTTTGTCTAAGACAGTGTTTCTCAACGGGGGCAATATCACCCCCATGTGGGTGTTTTTCCATGTTGAGGGGGCGATTAGTAACAATTTATATTTTGAGGGCGATATAGTAAAACATTATATTAAGAATAATTAGATATTTTATTCGTTATAACGTACAATAATTAAACAAATAACATTATACTAGTCACTAGTCTATTCAATGCAGTACGAATTTGGCATTAGCCTTGGCCCTCGGCATCGGAATTTATAGTAAAGGGGGCGATACTGCATAACGGTTTTATTGAAGGGGCGATACTACGTTAAAGGGGGTGACGATTCGTTAGAGGTTGAGAAACACTGGTCTAAGACATTTTGAATCATCCTCTTTATAGCAGAACTGATGAAAAAGTCAAAGATGTATCGTCGAACTAAATGTATACATCTTATTAAATGTTAATTTCCTAATTTTTAATATATTAAAGAGTGGTCAAGAAAACGGAATTTTTAGAAGAAATTAACTCACAGAGACTGTTAAATTATTTTCAGTATTCTTGAATTGACATAAAAATGCTTATGTTTTAAATAAATAAAATTAGTTATTATTTTAATTCTTGTAATTTATTTTATTTTATATTATCCCCAATAAAAAGATGAAAGCTCTTAATAATAGCAAATATTTATCACAATTATAAATATTAATTCTTAATAGATTAATGTATGCAAATAACTTTATTAATTATATCTTAAATATAAACTTGTATGATTACAAATAAACATATTAATTTTTAAATCAACAATAAATTATTTTCATTGCAGTATTGAAACTTAATATAAATTTATAATTAGTAAATTTCACATATAAGCAGTGTACAAAAAAATAAACATTAATTTTAAAATCTAAATACTAAATATATGCATTATATAATAGCAATAAAAACATTCAGTTATAACAACAAATAATATATTTTATAAAAAGTACAGTAAACATAGTGATAATTATTTAAATGGTAAAAAAAAGTGCATTATAATATGAAAGTAATGATTATAGGTCTTATTATATAGAATAAAACAGCAAAAAAATTAAAAGTAAAACTATTTTCAATTAAATATCTTATTAAACTTTAATTAAAAATAGATATAGATAAATTTATCTCAGTAATCTGCAAAAAAAAGCAAAGTGAAACAGTTATATTGGAACAGTTGAATGAGGACAACTGAATAGGAACAATCATATTAAATATAATTAAATTAATATAATTTACATCGTTAAACTCAGAATTATCCTAAATTTTTAAAAATTATCTATTTATTGTATATACATAATAACCATCTAAAACCAAAGAAGTTTCCCTACATGTTTTAATTTTTAAATTTTATATTTTGCAATAATTTTTTAAAATTTATAATATTCTTTTTTTAAATTCTTTAAATTATGAATGGCAAAATACACAAATAATTGAAAAGTTAATGAAACTTTGTTTTGATTTAAACATTGCAACACGATAATAATAATTTCAATATATTTACATGGCTTACTGTAAATAAGAACTTGTTAAAAAACAGAAAAGAAAATAATCATAAACAGTAACGGATCCAAGGGGGATCCATTATTGTTTATGATTATTTTCTTTACTACAGGGGTCTATGGGGGCCTGAATTCTCTCAATTATTTTTGTATGTGTGTCAATGAAGATACATTTCTTCGAATGTTGAAACGTTGTTTTTAAAAAAGCCCCTTATTAATTAATTATTCAAATATTTAAAATTTTTGATTTAGCCCTTTTGAATATTTGTGTATTGTCTATGAGAATACAGACAATACACAAGTATTTTTATATACATGTATAAATATATTAATTTCTGCAAGACTATTCTAAATTTACAATAAAATTTGTTTAAATACTACTTTCCAATTTATTAATTTATGGCTTAAATAACGAAAATAAGAAAAATCATATGGAGAAATATGAAACTTCACTATCAACAGCTGTCCCTCTCAATACATTGAATTGTTTATTTATAAATTTTTATCTACAATTGTTTTGATTAGATTAAATTATATATATATATATCTGTTGAAACCTTAATACATTAAACTTTAAAGTAAATTTACGTAAGCTTTAAGGTCAATAAATTTTACTATAAATTTTACAAAGCTACATACTTGTTTACTTTCTCCATTTAATCACATCCATCCTCGTGGTTCCGCTTTTGCATACTAGATATTGCGTCACAATACTTAAACATTTTATTATAGAAAATTTCATGCTTCAGTAAGAAACACCAAAATTATTATAAGTTATATAGAAAAATGAAATAAAATTTACTTCCAGAAATATATTTTGCTTTATTTACATAATTAGTTTCATCCATTTTTTTTACGTACGAGATAATAAAACGATATATATATATTATTTTAATCATAAATTATTTTATATAATATCAAAATAACTATTAATTAATTTAAAATTATTTAGCGGATAACAATTTTAAATTAAATAATAGATAATAGGATTTAAGCGGAGCATTAATTTAGCTTACCGTAACGAATGACATCCAAAACAATCTTGCTTGTAATTTTTAAAATACAAACAAAAAATCATAATTTATATCTGTTAAATTAGATCGGCAATGTAGATTATTTCGGCAAAGGAAACGTTAAGAAAACAACAGCTAATGAGGAAGTAAATGCGTGGAATGAGGAGTGTAATCAATCCTTTCTTCTTTTATATATTCGAAAAGAAATTTATATTAAAAAAGAAGAAGAATAAAACTGCACAATGCACAATACAATAAAGAATGACGGGAAGTAGTTTAAAATTCTACGAAAAATAACTTTATTAAAGGATTAATAACGTAACAAAAAAAAGAATGAAATTATTCTGAACACGCTTTACGTCACTTGGTATAGTTGTTAGCAAACACACGAAAGAAATTGTACAATAAAATAAAGAGGAACTCATAATAATGAAATGAAATGACGCATTTCAATTTGTATTATCACGGAAGCTTATTGGTCGTATAAATTGTACCTAACAATTCAATATATTTAAAAAATACTAATGATATTTAGATTAGGATGCTTTTCACAAATCGAACTAATCTTTTTTTTTATCAATCTGATATTGTTGTGTACTTTCTGAACGGAAAAAGATTTAATAAACAAAATATAAAGAAATCAAAATTTATTATTTAAATACAGATTCACAGAAACGATTTAATAAAGACATAGGTCTTATATATAAATATATGAAATGATTTTAAAAATAAGTATAAATAGTTTACATTATGTTCGGTACTATATATTTTTATATTAGGAAAAATAATGAAGGTTATTTGGTTGGATGATTTTTGTTAAAAATCTAAGAAAGTTTGAAAAAGAAATAGATTTTTTTTGGATTTAAACTAAAGATAAATATTGA